TGTTAGATATCCCGTAGAGGTGGTAAGCCGTCAGGGAGGTCCTCAGGCACAACATCAGAAAATTCTTTTAACAAGGAATGGAGCTCACAAGGTATGACATTAGTTTCAAAAATATGTTCTTTGGCAACCAATACCAGAATAATTTTGCTTTTCCGGGCTTCATTCAAAAAGTCCTTCCATCTGTTTGATAATGTGATGGCACACGTTCTTTTATCTTTGGCTTCGTCCCATGTAGCAGGTGGAACAACTATCTTTTTATTATTCCAAAGAAATTCATAAGCATTCTGTCGTCCGCGATGAGTTGCATCAACATCAAATTGCCAAGGCCTACCAAGAAGAATATGACAGACATCCATGTCTATAACTTCACACGCAATTGTATCTTCGTAGCTCTTCCCAATTGAGATAGGGACATGGCAAATTTCTGTAACTGAGACCGATGGGCCCTCTTTGATCCAACCTAACTTATACGGCCTTGGGTGTGGCTCAGTGCGGAGATTGAGGTGTTGCACAAGAGACCGAGAAACAATGTTATCACAACTCCCATTGTCGATGATGAGTTTGCACACCTTCCCCAAGATACTACAATATGCCCGAAAAATATTACTACGTTAGACTGGCCCTTTTTCTTTAGTTGTGTATAAGATCCTCTTGATGACAAAACTTACATGCTCACCATCCTCTTCAGCAATTTCAATGTTCTCATTACAATCTTCACCTTCAGTAAGGTCATCGGTATTCTCGGCAACCAAGTTAACCGATCGTCGCGCTCTACATTCATTTGAACGGTGCCCTGGCTCCCCACATTTAAAACACTTACCCGTCATGGGGTTGGCATAAGGATTCGGTGCTGCACTCCGTGTGGGTTGCTCATTATTTTGTTTTTGTGGAGGATTCCTCAATGAAACGACATCATTGGATGTTGCCGGGTGGGGTAAGATAGGAATAGGTCGGTTGGAGGTGTTACCTTGCATGGGTGGTAGTGAAGGTCCTTGGGGAACAGAGTTGGAATGCTGCCTTCGTTGGTTAGATTGCATGAAAATATCCTCTGCTCGTATTGCCATGTTAAATGTTTCATCAACAGACCAGATAGGTGTTAATGTCATTTTCTCACGAATATTAAACCTCAGCCCGTTGATATATCTGGCAGTTTGTTGTTCTGGGGTTTCAGAGAGATTACAACAAGCTCCCAAACGATAAAACTCCTCTGTGTATTCGTTTACGCTTCGGGATCCTTGTGAGCATCTTTGGTACCTTTGAAATAAGTGTTGTTGATAATCAGGAGGTAATAATCTTCCTGACATAAGCTTCCTCATTTTTCTCCATGTGGTGATCGCCATTTTCCCTTGCCTCCTCCTGTTATTTTGAGTGACCTCCCACCAAGCAGCGGCTCCTCCGCGTAATTTATGGGCAACATATTTAGCTTGGCGGTCCTCAGGAATATCCAACATGTCAAAGTATTTTTCAACATCGTAACACCAATCAAGGAAGGCTTCTATGTCCAAATTTCCATTAAAACATGGTAAATCAGCCTTTAGCCGATAATGGTTTTGTCTGTGAACTTGGGCACCTTGATTTTGGAGTTCATCTTCAGAGTCACTGCTATTTGTATCGCCAAAAGGTGGGTTTCCCAACGGTAAGACTCGCTGTGTTCTTCCACCCGGAGGTTGGTGCCTTCTTTGGGGTGCGGCCATGGGGGCTTCACCATTTCCATCGAGTCTTAAGCATAAGTTGGTGAGGATGTTGTGAATTTCTTGAAACTCGTAGTTAACATTCTCTCATTGTGTTTGAAAAGCTGCCCAAAGGGCATCTAGTCCACGGTCACCGCTCGTGGTCTGATTGTTTCCTCCGTTGTTGCTACCATGTGCCATTATAGGACCAACGAATAGAGAGGAAAATTCGCTATCTCGTTCGTAGCCCAGGAAATTAATGGTTCCGATACCAAACTGATGTAGGACAAAACAAGAGAAGAAAAAACAACTAGAGCAGATATAACAAAACTCAGGATAGTATTTTTTTTATAAAATCTTCAATGTTCAGAAGCTTACAGAGGAGATTTTATAGATAGATTTACTGAAAAGAAAGAAAAGAAATAACTGCTAGGAAGTTGGGAAGGGTAAACATTGCATAGAAAATAACAGTGCCTGGGAAAAACATCTCCCCTATACTTATATTTGGGAGTTGCCATTTGCCCCTCAAAAATGACACCCCTTGCTTACCATTGATTTCAAATCTAATGGATGAAATTTTTTTATCTAATTTTTGATTTATTTTTTCATTTTAATTGCCCTCAATTTTTAAAGAAATAACAATTTTGCCATTACTTTTTTGACTTCTTCCTCTTTGCCTTGATGTGATCTTTGTCTTCTTTTTTCTCCATCATTCCAACACTCCATTCTTTTTTTTTAACATTTTTTTTTAGAAACACTACATTATTCTAGCTAACATCTCCATTCTCTCCCTCAAAATCAAATCTAATGTCCTCCCTCATGTTCCTAATTCAATTCTTATATATCATGTTGGTATCTAAATAACTTATTTATGTATTCTTATTTATTTTTTCATATAACAATTATTAAAAATTATATATATTATTATTTAAAAATTAGAACATACTCGTTTTAAAAAGAAAAAATAAAAAATTATAACATAATAATTGATTGTTGGGCATGACATTTCGCGCAAAGCGCGTGCCCTCGACTAGTGTAAACAATAAATACTAAACACATGCATGCAAATTGTGGCCATCATAATGAAGATGTAAATGGTCTGCACGCCATTAATTTTTTTTTTTAAAACTTAATTTCATCTTAATAAAGTTATTTCAAACTCCCAAACTTATATTTAAGTCATTTAATTTTTTTTTAAAACTTAATCCAACGTTGAAACTTAACTAAAAGAGTTAATTACCGAAATGGTCCCTTGACTATAGCAAAATTACTAATTTGGTCCTTGACTATTTTTTTTGACCAATTAAGTCCCTCAACTTTAAAAATCTTAACCAATTTGGTCCTCCATTTGTTTGACCGTTAGTCAACCGTTAACTTGGGACCAAATTGGTAATTCGCTATAGTCAAGGGACCATTTTGGTATTTAACTTTAAGGGTCGGCAATTCGATTGAGTTTTCTCAAACCGAATGGAACCAAACTAGTTAGATTCGGTAATATACCGAACAACCGAACGGTAATAGATTCTTGTATACCGAACAACCGAATTGTTCGGTAAAAACTAAACCGAACCGAATACCGTTTGAACTTTGAATTGCTATTTTGTTATATATTAGACTTTGAATATGGACTATGTAAACATCATAGCACATAATATATAACTTTTGATAACAAATCATAAAGAAATCAAATAAAGCATTTACGAGAGATACCCGTGAGAATATGAGCTGAACGGCAGAGCAAGCAGCAAGTGACTTGGATTTATTTTTTATTTATTTATTTATTAATTTTATTATTATTATTATTATTATTATTATTATTATTATATTTTTAAAAAAAAAAATCAAACGGTATTTGATTCAGTTCAATTTTTTACCGAACAATTCGAATCGGGAATTTTATCGAACCGTTCGGTATACAAGAATCCAATATCGTTCTTTTGTTCGGTATATTACTTCGGTTCGGTTCGGTTCGGTACGGTTCGATTCGAGAAAACTAAACCGAATTGCCCACCCCTAAAGTTAATTACCAAAATGGTCCCTTGACTATAGCGAAATTACCAATTTGGTCCCAAGTTAACGGTCGACTAACGGTCAAACTAACGGAGGACCAAATTGGTTAAAAATTTTAAAGTTGAGGGACTTAATTGGTTAAAAAAATAGTCAATGACCAAATTGGTAATTTCGCTATAGTCAAGGGACCATTTTGGTAATTAACTCTAACTAAAATATTAAAAATATTTTAGGTAAATAATGAAAAATTGTAATGTATGTCCCTCCATAATATGCCAATTATCAATGTCACTCCTAAATTATTAGTAGTGTAAATATTGCTTCTCAATTTTTAAAATGGTACAGATATTGCCCCTCCCATACCGTAAGGGGGGAATTGAAGAGCAACATTTTTAGTTTTTTACTATGGGGGTGGCAATATATGTACCGTGTTAAAAATTAGGGGGTAACATTTACATCACTAATAATTTAAAGAGTTACATTGATAATTGGCATATTATGGAAGGGCATAAATTACATTTTCCCCGTAAATGCATTGAATTGTATTAAAGCAGCACCCATCTTATCAATAGTTCGAACTCTTAGCCCTTAGGGTTGGGGTTCAACCTTTTGGAAGAATAGTTCGAACTCTTAATCTTATATTCAAGCCACTAGAAGTCTTTTCACTTGAATCTACAGCTCAAATTTGACAAAATATTAGAACTATTATATTCTAGGTAAATGCATTAAACTACATTAAAATTGTGTGCCAATGGTATTATGTAATAAATGCAGACCATTTGATCTTATGCAATAGAAAACTACATTTATATTAATTATGAATTTCCAATGGTGTCAATATACAATATAATACTATTATTAAGTACAATCATATATAATATATTATAATTTATGTCAATTATAAATGTCACCTTTCAATTCTAAGTGATATAAATATTGTGATTGAACTGTCTTAATGTTGTCATATTTTACTCTTTCTGAGAGGCATAAATTACCGTATATAGAGACAATATATGACCATGCACCTTAACAATTAAACGACTAAAATAATAGACAATATATAACCACATTGACAATTTATGGACAACATTTATATCACTTCAAATTTAGTATAGAAGTGACATTTATAATTGGTCTATACCTGATAGGCATAAATTATCATTTTCCTTATAACATATTGGTTGTTGACCGTTGTTTGACTGTTTTGATGGATTAAATGCACCAGGATGGATCCAGTACTTTATCCAATTATCCGGGTATTATTGACACCAATATAAAATCCCTACAAGTAATAAAGAAGAGATAAATATACCATTGATTCTATGTCCAAAGCTGAAAATGAGCCTCATCATGATCCTCCTCTCCTAAACTAGCAACCTTGGAAATCAAACTTAGCCCTTCTTCCATGGCAATCTTGGATGCCATCATATCATCAAGTTCCACCATGATCTTACGGTCTTTCAAGGGCTGCACCTCCTCCACTCCATTCTCTGCATCAGAATCATCCTCAAATATCTTCTTCCAAAATGCAGAATTCTCTGCATTCCTTCTTGCATTCTCCTCCTCCTTTTTCGCCTCATCTAAACACTGCAAATCTGGTTTGATTACCACTGCTTCTTCATCATCATCGCCTTTCTTCTTCTTACGCCCTCCTTCATTATCGGTGCCCGCTTTTCGCTTCACCAGCTGGAGGAATTCCAGGGAGAAACTTGAGATGACCCTTTTTTCCTCATCATCATCTCCATAGTCACTGTTCTCCATTTCTTGAGGTCTGGCAAGCTCTTTTTCCATGTTTTCTTGCTGTTCTTTCAGCTTCTGAATCTCTGCCCTCAAAGCTATCTGTTCAGCCTTCAATTTCTTCATCATCACATCCAAATCTTCAGTAACCACAGGTGCTGTAAATGATGATCCATTCTTCTTCTGCAACATTTTCGATTTCTGAACTCGACTTCTGATGCTTCTCAACCAGTCCTTTTTCCCCGGTCTAAACCATTGATTCTCGTATTCATGCCTCTCGGAGTTAACTTTTCGAAACCCCTGCCATGTTCATCAACACACACAAAACACAATCTCAAAAACTAACTGATATCAACTTCAATTCAATTGAAATCCATTCCTACATGAATATATATACCCTGTTTGGTAAAAAATTGGCCTATAGGTCAATTTTGGCTTATTTGACCACTATTAATTGTTTGATTTAGTTAAAATATCAATATAAGTGTTTGGTTAATTAGCTTTTTGCAACTCCAAAATGCTAAAATTTAAAAAGCTACTCCAAGCAACTTTTTCAATTAGCTTTTTCATAAAAGAAACTATACCAAACAACTATGTTATCAACTAGTTATACCCGCTAATTAACACAATCAGCTAACAGCCATTTACCAAACAGGGCCATAATATAATGCACTTACATAGTTGTTGAGCTGATAGATGAAGCTTGCCAGATTGCTGTGCTTGAAGTACTCGGGAAGAAGCTCTGCAGCGAAGCGGTTATGATCCCAGATGACAAAACTCGCCCCGTTTGAACTCCAGGATACGAGTGAATCCGTGTTTGGATCTTCCACCATGTCAAATATCTTCAACAAGAAACGAGGGGTAGCGAATAAACCAACTGGATTTGCATTATTATTGTCTCCACATCCCGGACTATCAATTTCACCTTGCATTCTGGCAAGCTCCATTTTCTTCTGTAACTTTCTTTCCAATTATATATGCAAGAAATTAAAAGCTAGAACAAGCTCACAGCACTAATTGTGCATGAAAGTCAGGAGGATTATGTACAGTTCTGCCTTGGATGGATCGTAGCCTTCCAATTAATGGTTGTGGGTTTATGCCTGGATTGTACTTCTGGGCATCAAAAGGGGGCTTGGAAATGTGATTAGTATAGTAACATTCTTGCCCTTTTTTGTTATTCTTGTTTGGTACACAAGGAACTTGGTGCATTCCTGAATTCATATGGCTATAATTGAACTTAATTGGTGGATGCCTGGATGGATTTTGTAAAATATTTCATAGATCTGTGGTGAGTTTTTATCTAAAAAGTAATGAATGATGAATAAAACAAGAAAGTAAACTTCATTTCCAATTGTTATGGACTTTCCAATAGTCATGGTGAATAATGAATACAATATGCACCATGGTCCACATAGCATTACTGACCCTGTATCAAAACGACGACGTTTTGATATTTAAGCTGTAACAGATTCTGTAGTTTTCTGTTTTTCATATTTTAATACCAATTTTAATTTATTCTAGGTACAAAATCAATACTCTTAATGGTACAAAATTTCATAACACGAAACACAAAAACTCACAACACAAGACACATACACATGTTATATATTTAATTATTTTTAAATCTGATTTATGTAAATAATGACCCTATTTGGTAAAATAATTAACCTATCAGCCAATTTTGATTTATTTGATCAGTATTAGCTGTTTGACTTTGTTAAACAATGAATATGAGTGTTAGATTAATTAGCTTTCTTGTAAACTTATTGCTCCAAAATGCTAAAATTTATCAGCTTTTGAAAAAGTCATTTTGTATGTAATCAGCTAACAACTAACAGCTAATTTACCAAACATTTTTCTACAATTAGCTAATGCTATCAATTAGTCAAACCTAGTAACTCAATCAGCTAACAGTCATTTACCAAACACCCCCCAATATGTCCTATAAGACATAAATTCGTAAAATAAGATACAATATGTTGTGTGTTACACAACTACTAATCTATTTCAAGTACAGAATCCATACGCTTAAGGTACAAAATTACATAACATGAACACAAAAACGCATAACACAAGACACATACATATATTTTATATTTACATTAGTTCAGGTACAGAATCAATATTATTAAGGTACAGAATTGCATAACACAAGACACAAAAACGCATAACACAAAACACAAAAGTGCATGTTATATTTACTTTATTTCAAGTATAGAATCCATACGCTTAAGGTATAGAATTGCATAACATGAGACACAGAAACGTATAACACAAGACACATTCACATGATTTACAGTGTAAAAAAAAAAAAAAAAAAAAAAAAAAAAAAAAAAAAAACCTGTAATTTAAATTGAACGACAAACAATCGCCATCAAAATTAAAATTCAAAATTACGCCGTTTAGGACCAAGGTCCACAGACTCTTGAGTCACACGATAACCAGATGGGCTTACAAATGAAACCCCAAAGCTTATTTGAATCCTCAATCAACACTCCCTCTGCAGAATTGTCTTCCTCTCCCTCACATAACCTCAAAGCTAACTAGAACCCATCTGCACCACAGAACAACTAAAAATATGTCCTAATCATTCATAACTGCTACACTTATTAATTGTTCATACAACATGGATGGTCTTGTCAGATCAAGAGAACACAATCCTTAAAATGAGGCAAAGTACTGAAAAAACATAGTAATTTTAGCTATGCTGTCACAACTCACATAGAACTACTTGCTCTCGACTTTTCGACTCCAATAGAAACAAATATGAAGCCATCTATCGCCTCCAAAAACAATAAATAAAAACGAAAGATCCCCCCTTCCTTTCCTAGCATATTGTTGAACTCAATCCAGAAATGGAAGAAAATTCAAATGATGATAATGTTGCTGACACTCCAATTAAGGAGACTTCCAAGATCTCCAAGAGTCTAGGCCGGGTGTCTAAATCTTTGCCCACACCTTGCTTTGACAACCCACAGAAGAAGGAAAGCAATTTCAACCAAAAGAAAAGCAAGTTGCAATTATTTCAAAGAAAAACAAGAAAAAATGGGATGAGTGAAGAAGACTCCAGTCCTGCTATGTGGTTTTCTCATTCTTTTTATTTCTATATATTTTGTTCCGGCCCCCCTCGTAAGTTAGAGGAGAGAAAGTTCAGCATTCTGGAAAACGGGAATGTTCAAAACTTCAAAACACCATGATGACAAGTTGAATGTTAAAGACAGGACAAATTAAAGTTCTAAAATAAAGTCCATATATATCATGACAAATACCAGCTAAACATATAATATGTGAAGCATTCTTGGAAATAAATGCACATGACATGGACGCCAAAAGCATATCTAACCATTAATTCACCATCAATAGCAAGTTAGCAACGACTTTGTAAAGATAACGTAATATACATATAATTGAGTTCAGATTGAGAAAGGATGTCTAGCCCTTCATTTCATAATGAGAAAATTCTCGTGCTTTCAATAAATTTCGAAGAAAAGTAAAGTTGATTGGCATAAATTTCCAACCTGTTCACTTCATTTCTTGCAATTCTTCAAGAAATCCTAGGCTAAACAAATCATAATAATGTGTCACTATCAAAGGAACGAAATTGCAAAGCACATAAGAAAATCATATCCTCCTTATACAGAGAGAAGCTCAAAGCATATATAGCTCGAAATTCAGACTCCACTGTCCATTACTATTTACTAATAATTACCTGCATCAGATTATACTTTTACATATTTTCTAAGCAAGTGAGTGTACCGCAATGCTGATATGTAATTGCATTATAAGATTATATCCACAAAGAGGATTAGAAATCAGGCTTGCAGCTCATATAGACATCGACAATATATTGTACCTATAGGCAGACAAAGATAAATTGCAAAAGAAATGGTAATCAATTATCCATGGACATAAACTATAAGTATGGTGGTAAAGACATTCTATAAGATTCATAAACTCTATAAGCATGATGACAAGCATAAATGGTTCTCTATACTATTCCCTGATGAAACAATCTCTCTCTAGTATACAAGCCAGAAAGGTGTAAAACATGACATAATATTCACTAAAAGAATATAACATAACCTACCAAGTTAGGTTCTCTCTGCTGGAGTAAGATGTCCCAACTGTTCAGCAAGGTTATTTACACTTTTAACGCTCCACCAAAACTTCCCTTGGTCGACTGGTTTGCTTTCGCTTTTTCTGCCATCAAGATTTTTCCTTTCTGACAATACGTCTGTTGGGGCATCTGTTGAACCGGGATTCTCAGTAAGGAACTGTTCCCAGAATAAATCGTTTACTCCAGTTGGTACATTAGAGGCAACCCCTGTCTCTTCCGGTGGAGCAACCTCCAAAACAGGGTTTGCACTAGGCTCGATGTTCATGTCGATTCCAGATGTCTTGGGTTCAACCTCATCGTTTAGTTGTGTGTACGAAATGGCAGGGCTATCTGCACAACTTGTAGATTCATCCAACTCGATCGCTGGACTCTCGTGGACCACCGTTTGACCAACGTCTTGTAACATATTCTCCCAGAAGATCAAAGAAGACTCTAATTGATCTAACAGCTCCTTGTTGAACGTAACAAGAGAAGTTGAAACCATATTTTCAGGCATCGAAATTTGAGAAGTGCTCGTTTGATTGTCCTCCGTGCCTGTTTCAGTATAAAGGTAATTGTTTCCAGGCAGCCTTCTCTTTCTATCGGGCAGTCCCATTTGAGGCATGAGGCTTAATGCTAGCTCCGGTTTATCCAAAGTTCGAGCCAAGGAGGACAGCATGTTCCTTTGGCCCTGTTCCACATTCTGCACACACTCCGTTAACCTTTGCATTTGTAACTCGAGTCCCTGGTGCTCCTGCTTATGTCTTTGCAGTTCCAATAGAAGCGATTCTTTATCGCCCTTCAACTTTGCGATATCATCCTTGTACCCTTGTCTTTCTGATTCATTCAAGGGAGAACTATGAAGATTCTGTGTAGAATGACTATGAACCGGCTTGCGTCTGTGGATATTCTTCATTAGGTGTGGCTGACCTCTAACAAAGCCCTCGTTCGCAAACTCCCATTGTTCAGGATCAACTTTCCTAAATCCCTACGAAAAAGAAAGCAGAAACAAGAAATTAAAAGTATAGTTTCACATCAGAGCCAAAATCACGAATTTAAGACAAACAATGATTACTACTTACATAAGTATTCAGCTGTCTGATAAAGCTGGAGAAGTTGTTGTGCTTGAAGTATCTTGGCAAGAGGTCCCTAGAGAATTCTGGTGGGTTCCAAACAATGAAGCTTTTGTTGTTGAGACTCCAGGAAACAACAGAGTTAGTGGAGGGATCATCCACCATTTCATAGGTCTTGGCAAGGAAAGGAGGTAAAGCATTGTTGTTACAAGAAGCTTCATCCATGATCACTCAAAAGCAGTTGAATAAAATCCCCTCAAACAAAAGATTAAAGCCTCAATTGGTATCAGATTCCCAGCATATGTACACAATAAAATGACCCTTGTCAAACCATTTCTCAACAGAGCAATTTCAGGCTTCAACTATATATTCTCTTCCTGATTCTGTTTGTCCCACAATCTAAGACAATCTTCTTGTCTTCTTGAACTTTATGGATAGGAAATTCACAGAGTCAGAATAAATTATGGACCAAGAATTCCAGAAGATCAAGAAAATGCAAAACCCAGAAATCACTCCTAAAGAAAGCTGCACCTTATAATCCTTCCAAGGGTCCTTCAAATAAATTCAAGAAACATTAAAAACTCACCACCCATAGTCAATAAAGTTCGAATCTTTATCAGCTAAACCCTCAAAAATCTCCCAAAACTCACAAAGCCATTCCACACCTTCAGCCCCAAAATGGCGAAAACACGCCACAGAATCCTCCCCTCTGTTCACACAACGCAAGAATCAATAATTAGACATGTAAACCCAAAAAACAAAAAGGAACAAAGAAGAACAAGAAGGCGGAGAAAAGTCAATTTTTTTCAAACCCATAACATCAAAGTCGTTAAAATAGTCACCCTTTCCCCCTATCTTCAAGCAAAAGCATCCACTCCCCACGTATACACTTACATAAGCAATCCAGGTGTTCGATCATTTACCTGACAGAAGAAACAAAAACAAAAACACAAGCTCGCTGTCGCTTGGAGGCTATTGGGATCTGTGTGAGCTCGCGGATCAAGGGAATTGTGTCTGGGCTACCAATTTTCGGCGGGCTTTTCTAGGGTTTTATAAAAGGACGATGAATTCATCCGTCATAATCGCATCAGCAGCAACCTTAACAACTTCGTACTTTCATTTCTCTCTTCCCTTTTAAGGAAAAAGTATTACGGCAAAACAAATAAAAATCCGTTTTTTTTTCTTTTTTTAAATTTAGGAAATAAATGAAATTACAAAATCAACGAGAAAGATCCTTGTCAGGTCCCAGATGGGAAGAAGAATTATTGGCATTTAAACGAAATTCTAAAGAAGAAAGCAAGCGTTGACTTCGACGCCGTCGTTGGACGCTAGCATTTAATATACGGTAATTAAACATATTATTATTATTATAATTATTAATTATTAATTCATTCATTTTTTTTTTTGGTGTAAACCACACATCGTGGTCGGGGTCTTTCTCTGTCCGTTTAACGGTCCAGGTCCATCCGGTTCGTTTCGGGAGGCACAGAAGCTGTTCCAAAGGGAATCGTCACTTGTGTCAGTACTTATTTTTTGAGTTAATACACAAAATCGTCCTCGACTATAGTAGTTTTTCTCAATTTCGTCCTAAATGACTTTGGTAACTTAATATCGTCCTAGACTTTTATGTTTCGCTCAATTTAGTTTCAGAATTTTGTGTTTTTGCTCAATTTAGTCCCTCATTTGTTATTCTGTCCATTTGGTGTTAAATAAATAGACAATTCAGTAATTTTAATATTGACATCTTACTCATAAACATGTGAACTGCGAAATCCCTTTTTTTTTTACGAATTACTCCCAGAATTACTCCTAAAACTGTGAATATAAAATTTGATTTGCAGGTCCGGGAGTAATTCTGCGTGTAATTCGTACAAGAAAGAGGAATTTCACACTTCACAAGTTGAAAGTAAAGAGAGATCAATATTGACATTACTGAATTGTCCCTTAATTTAACACAAATTTGACGGAATAACAAATGGATGACTAAATTGAGCGAAACACAAAAATATGGGACGATATTAGGTCACCAAAGTCGTTTAGGACAAAATGAAGAAAAATTACTATAGTCGATGACGATTTTGGGTATTAACTCCTTATTTTTTTTAATGCGGAAATTAAATGTGTATTATTCATGATTAAAAAAAAAAAAAAAAAAAAAAAAAACCTCCATTTGAACCTTTGTTGCTACCCTTTTTATACAATGTGCATACATATTAGAGTATAGTAGGTATAGTAATTATAGGGCAAATTATGCACTGGAAACGTGCTCACCTTGCAAGATATGCACGATTCTATATCCATAATTTCTATATTGTAGATTCATAATTATAGAGCTATATGTTCATAATTTTATAAATATATGTTCATAATTATAGAGCTATATGTTCATATTCCCAATTGTTGAACTCTGTTTTCACAAATCACAGAACTATATGTTCATAATTTGATAACTATACAGTTTAGAAATTATGAATCTACAGTACATATATCATGAATCTGCAGTATAGAAACTATGAATCTATTGTATAGAAATTATGAATTTACTGTATTTAAATTATGAATCTACGGGTTAAAAATTATGAATCTAAAGTATAGATTTTATGAATTTACAGTATATAAATTATGAATCTACAATATAAAAATTATGAATCTACACTATAAAAACTATGAATATAAAACCGTGTCTACCTTGCAAGGTGGCACGATTACACAGCATAAAGTTCCCAATTATACTGAGATTAGAGTAATTAGACTGCTTCATTAACATTACACGTCCGAAATCTTTTACTCTCTATTTAAAAAGTGTTGTAATTTGACAAATTGCTCTAATTATAGTTAATTTGAAATGATTTTTACATAATAATCTGAGTTGCCACCATAATCACTTTTCTCTGTATACACTCTTACTTTGAGATTTATGTGTAGATTTTGAAAACATTGCCAATACCTATCCCATAATTATGTTTGCATATATGAGCTACAAAAGTTAATAATTTTTGGATTATGAGAGAAATATGCAGTAATTAAGAATATATATTATAGAGTTTTTTAGATTTGGTCCCACGACTATAATGACACTATCAAGATTGATCCGCGACTTTCAAATCTTGTAATATTGGTCTACGACTATTATTTTTGTTGTAAAAAATGGCCATCCCGGGCATTTTCCGTCAATTTTTCACCGGAAAAAAATTTCCCCATTTCAAGCAGGGATAAAATAGGCGTTTACATTGCCCTTGCAATCTCGGACCGCTGTTGACCTCTTATTCTCACCGAAGTGCAAAAAAAAAGGAAAAAAAAAATAAAAAAATAAAATTGCCAGATATGAACCCTAATATGCTCTCATCTCATCAACCCATTTGCAAACCCTATTGGAATACGATTGGATTTCGCGGTTTGATACTCCAGTGCGAAAAACTCAATAGGGTTCGCAGATGGGTTGTTGACATGAGAACAGATTAGGGTTCATCTCTTCACACTTTGATTAGAATAAGAGGTCAACAACGGTCTAAGATTGCAAGGGCGATGTAAATGTCTATTTTATCCCTGCTTGAAATGGGAAATTATTTTTTCCGGTGAAAAATTAATGGAAAATTAGTCGATAGGACTATTTTTGCAAAAAAAATAATAGTTGTGGACCGATATTACAAGGCTTGAAAGTCATGAATCAATCTTGACAATGTCACTATAGTCATGGGACCAAAAATACAAAAAAACTCTATTGTATATTATGTAATCCTCTCTCATCTGTAATAGTAGGTAAATTACAAAAAGAAAAATATTAAAAAGACTAGTGCGACAGTCTTGATGAAAAGTAGAGTAATTTTAGAAAAAAATTAAATAAATAAGTCCTCGATTTCCTCATCATCATAAAGATATGTATGTTATATTTAATGCTGGTAATATTTAGGAATTGTGAAGGTTGTGTGACGTCATTGCTTTGGTGGACAGAGTAGAGATGATGTCCTCTAACCGGAAATTCTATCTGGGTGTGCAAGATGATAAGATGACAAGATGACGGTGTGAATGCGACTTTTTTCTTTTTACTCTCTCTCTTGTAACAATTAAATATAATCTTTAAAAATTACAATCTTGAGAAGATTACACTTTAGACTTGTTTGGTGAAAAGCATTTTAAGAAAAAATATTAAGAATCATTTTGATTACAATGAGATTAGATGATGTGAATATATACAATAGAAAGTCACAGTGTGATAAGGATAAGAAGTAGAGAGTCACAGTGTGACAAGGATAAGAAGTTCTAAACAGACTCAAATACATAGAGTCCTAATACTCCCCCTCAAGCACAATGTATACTAGTAACCTGTAGCTTGTCCCTTAGGGAAGAAAATCTAGGTCCAGGCAGAGCTTTGGTGAAGATATCAGCAAGTTGATTCTTTGTGGAGATGAAGTTGACTTGAATATCGCCCGAAGCTACTCGATCACGAACAAAATGATAATCAATCTCCACATGCTTGGTGCGCGCATGAAAGATTGGGTTGGCACTCATATATGTAGCTCCTAGATTATCACACTATAATTTTGGAATGGAAATACCCGGAATCTGTATCTCATGCAGTAATGACATAATCCATAGAACTTCAGCACAAACATCTGCAAGAGCTTTGTATTCAGCCTCAGTGGATAACCTAGCAACAGTTCTCTATTTCTTGCAAATCTAGGATATAAGATTACTCCCCAAGAAAACAGCAAAACCACTCGTGGATTTTCGATCCTCAGGACAACCAGCTCAATCAGAATCAGAGAAGGCATGAATGTCTCTAGATGAGCATCGTCGTATGCCAAACCATGATCAACTGTTCCCTTAACATACCTGAGTACCCGTTTGAGCTGCTCCCAGTGTGACATGGTGGGAGCATGCATATGTTGGCATAACTGATTAACTGCAAAGGATAGGTCAGGACGTGTGACAATGAGATATTGCAGTGCTCCAGCTAGACTCCTGTACTGTGTGCGATCATCATATAGATCTGAATTGAAGGGGACAATTTTCGAGATAGAGATAGGTGTAGAAATGGGTTTGCATTCAGACATCCCAGCCCGTTTTAAAATATCATTCATATACCGTTGTTGAGATAAAATAATCCCATTGTCACTCTTAACTGTTTCAATACCCAAAAAGAAATTTGGTTCACCAAGATCTCGGATTTTGAATGTAGCAGACAGTTTGGACAAGAGCTGAGACATAATACCCTGATCACTTCCCATTACAAGAATGTCATCCACGTACACCAATAGATAAACCAAAGCAGAGTTTTTAGAGTAATAGAACAGAGAGACATCTGTCTTGGATGCTTGAAAGTCAACTGATAGTAAGAACGTATGTAGTCGACTAAACCAGGCTCTGGGAGCTTGTTTTAACCCATACAGAGATCTTTTAACAAACAAACGTGATTCGGGAAGTTAGTATCAATATAACCAGGGGGTTGCTTCATATAAACTGTTTCAGCCAGACTACCATTCAGAAAAGCATTATGAACATCTAGCTGTTTGATAGACCACCCAGATGATAAAGCTAGAGATAGAAGGAGTCTTACAGTCGTAGGCTTTACCACTGGACTAAATGTGTCAAAGAAGTCCTGGCCTGGAACCTGATTAAAACCTTTCGCAACTAGTCTGGCTTTATGCCTTTCAATAGTACCATCAGCTTTTCTCTTCGTACGAAACACCCACTTACAGCCAATAATATTCATACCTGCAGTGGGTGGAACTAGAGACCATGTGTGGTTATGCAGGAGAGCATTGAATTCTTGGTCCATGGCTTCACGCTACTTAGGATATTTGACAGCTTGAGAGTGACATGTGGGTTCCGTGGGATGCACCTGAGCTGCTAGAGCAAAAAGAGGAGCATCTGTGTTGCTGCGAGTGGCCATAGAGTGAGTATGGACATTGGGCCTGGTGGACTGCCCACGTGGACATAGAGCGAGCAACGGGCTCTATCGGATCACCCGACGAGGCAGCCTGTCCGGGATCCACGACTGGTTCGAATGAAGTTGGTAGCGGCGGTTCTGGCGGCTCATCATTGGACACGGCAGGAATAGGCGTGCTATGACTGAGAACAGATTCTGCCCAAGGTCCAGGAAACAGAGTAGATAGATCATGCAAAGAAGTTTTAGTAGCAAAGGGGAAAACTTCTTCATCAAATCTGACATGCCTGCATATGTAAATCTTATATATGTACCCCCTAAAGGACTCAGGATAACCTAGGAAGATACATGGAGAAGACCTGTATGA